AACTGGAGGACATTATGCTGAGTGAAATAAGTCAATCACAAAAGGACAAATATTGTATGAGACCTCTATTGTAAAAACTCATGAAAAAGTTTACACACAAAAAGTAACAATCTTTGTTGGTTACCAGAGATGGGAGGGGTGGGGGGGAAATACTAAATAGGCAATAGATAAGTGGTATCTTTGGTGAAGGGTGAGACAGTACACAATACTGGGGAAACCAGCACAACTTGTACAAGGAAAGGTCACGGAAGCTCCCTAGACACATCCAAACTCCCCGAGGGACTGAATTGCTGGGCGGAGGGCTGTGGGGACCATGGTCTCGGGGAACATCTAGCTCAATTGGCATAACACAGTTTATAAAGACAAGGTTCTACATTCTACCTTGGTGAGTAGCATTTGGGGTCTTAAAAGCCTGTGAGCAGCCATCTAAGACTCCACTGGTCTCACCCCTTCAGGAGCAAGGGAGAATGAAGAGAACAGGATACAGGGAAAAGATTAGTCCAGAGGACTAATGGACCACAGCTACCAAGGCCTCCACCGGACTGAGTCCAGTATAGCTAGATGGTGCCCGGCTACCACCACTGACTGCTGTGACCGGGATCGTAACAGAGGGTTCTGGACAGAGCTGGAGAAGGATATAGAACAAAATTCTAACACATATAAAAAAGACCAGATATACTGGCCTGACAGAGACTGAAGAAACCCCAAGAGTATGGCCCCCAGACACTCTTTTAGCTCAGTGGTGAAGTCACTTCCAAGGTTTACCATTCAGCCGGGGACTGGACAGCCCCATAGAACAAAACAGGATTAATAAGGCACAGCAGTCCAGGAACAAGGTAGAAGGCAGAAGGGGACAGGAAAGCTGGTGATAGGGAACGCAAGGTTGAGTAAAGACAGTGTTGACATGCAGTGGGTCTGTTAATCACTTCATAGTGCAACACGTGTACTGTTTAATGAGAAACTATTTTGTTCTGTAAACCTTCATCTAAAGTGAGAATACCAGCACAACTGGAAGAACGTAATCAATGTCACTGAACTGTGCATGTAGAAATTTTTGAAATGGTGTGTCTTTGGCTATGTATATTTTCACCAAAAAAAAAAGGTCAAGAACGGAGAGGGTTGACATGTCATGGGGTTGTTAATCAATGTCATAAAACAATATGTGTATTGACTGTTTAATGTAAACCTTCACCTAAAGTACAATTAAAAAAAAAAAAAAGACAAAGTAAAGTAGTATAATGACATGTGCGAACAGCTGGAGATAGCAAACCAAAAGGGACGAACACAGTCAGCATTTCTCAAGCTGAAAGAACTGAAGAAAAAATTCAAGCCTTGAGTTGCAATAGGGAAGGATTCTATGGGGAAAATATTAAATGATACAGGTAGCATCAAAAGAAGATGGAAGGAATACACAGAGTCATTATACCAAAAAGAATTGGTCAACATTCAACCATTTCAAGAGGTAGCATATGATCAGGAACCAATGGTACTGAAAGAAGTCCACGCTTCATTGAAGGCATGAGCAAAAAACAAGGCTCCAGGAATTGACGGGATGTCAATTGAGATGTTTCAACAAATGGATGCAGCACTGGAAGTCCTCACTCGTCTATGCCAAGAAATTTGGAAGACAGCTACCCGGCCAACCAAATGGAAGAGACCCATATTTATGCGTATTGCCAAGAAAGGTGATCCAACTGAACGCGGAAATTGTTGAACAATATCATTAATATCACACACAAGTAAAATTTTGCTGAAGATCATTCAAAAGCAGCTGCAGCAGTATATCGACAGGGAACTGCCAGAAATTCAGGCCAGATTCAGAAAAGGACGTGGAATGAGGGATATCGCTGCTGACATCAAATGGATTCTGGCTGAAAGCAGAGAATACCAGAAAGATGATTACCTGTGCTTTATTGACTGTGCAAAGGCATTCAACTGTGTGGATCATAACAAATTATGGATAACATTGTGAAGAATGGGAATTCAAGAACATTTAATTATGCTCATGAGGAACCTGTACAGAGATCTGACAGAACAAGGGGATACTGCGTGGTTTAAAGTCAGGAAAGTTGTGCATCAGGGTTGTATTCTTTCACCATACCTATTCTATCCATATTCTGAGCAAATAATCTGAGAAGCTGAACTACATGAAGAAGAACAAGGCATCAGGATTGGAGGAAGACTCATTAACAACCTGAGATATGCAGATGACACAACCTTGCTTACTGAAAGTGAAGAGGACTTGAAGCACTTACTGATGTAGATCAAAGACCACAGCCTTCAGTGTCGATTACACCTCAACATAAAGAAAACAAAAATCCTCACAACTGGGCCAATAAGCAACATCACAATAAATGGAAAAAAGATGGAAGTTGTCAAGCATTTCATTTTACTTGGATCCACAATCAACACCTGTGAAAGCAGCAGTCAGGAAATCAAAAGATGCACTGCATTGGGCAGATCTGCTGCAAAAGACCTCTTTAAAGTGTTAAAAAGCAAAGACGTCACCTTGAAGACTAAGGTGCGCCTGACCCAAGCCATGGTATTTTCAATCGCATCATATGCATGCGAAAGCTGGACAGTGAATAAGGAAGACCGAAGAATTGACGCTTTTGAATTCTGGTGTTGGTGAAGAATACTGAATATACCATGAACTGCCAAAAGAATGAACAAATCTGTCTTGGAAGAAGTACAACCAGAATGCTGCTTAGAAGCAAGGATGGCAAGACTACATCTTACATACTTTGGACATGTTGTCAGGAAGGATCAGTCCCTGGAGAAGGACATCATGCTTGGTAAAGTACAGGGTCAGCAAAAGAGGAAGACCCTCAATGAGATGGACTCACACAGTGGCTGCAACAATGGGCTCAAGCGTAACGATTGTGGGCATGGGGCAGGTCCGGGCAGTGTTTCGTTCTGTTGTACACAGGGTCGCTATGAGTCGGAACCAACTCAATGGCACCTAACAACAACAACAGCTCTCAGGTGAGACATTAGTAGTTCAGTGGTAGAATTCTCATCTTCCAAGCAGACCTGGGTTTGATTCCTGGCCAACGCACCCACATGCAGCCACCACTCATCCATCTGTGGACATTTGTCTGCTGCCATAAAGCTGAACCAGTTTCAGTAGAGCTTCCAGACTAAGACATACTAGAAAGAAAGGCCTGACCAACTACTTCTGAAAAAAATCAGCCAGTGAAAACCCTATGAATCACAATGGTCTGGTCTGCAATCATGGGGATGGCACAGGACCAGGTAGCATTTTGTTCAGTTGTACATGGGGTTGCTGGCAGTTGGGAGCCAAAAGCTCTTAGATAGGATGGCTTAGGTGAAATAATCCAATGTAAAGAAATTTGTATGTGCAGAATGCTCAACAAGTGCTCATTATTATTGCTGTAATGACCATGCTGGCCAAGCACTGTGCCAGATGTGCCTACATCCTGGGTTCATTTCAACCACAGCCTAGCCAGCAAGGCAGGCATGTTAGTTCCTCTCATGGAGGAAGCAACTGAGGTGCAGAGGGGCAGAGCCATCCACTTCCTCATGGAAACCCCACTCAGCCTTCTTCCTTCCCTAGAGTGGCTCAGCAGAGGCCCAGGTTGGGAAATGAGGGGGGGCTGCAGATTTGGGCTACACCAGGCCCAGCCCAGGGCACCCAGCGGTGCGCTGACAGACAAGGCGGAGGATCATTGGGGCATGGGGCAGGTAACTGTACCTCTAGCCCAGGCCATGTCAGCTGTGCTGCAAGATGAAGGAATTCTTGTTTTCTTCAGGGCTCTGCCCACTCCTCTTTCCCTAGTACAGGTGGAAAGGAACTCCAAGGTCCTCCTGCATGCCAGGTGACTACAGAGCTTGGTGCTTTGATATCATATCCATCCCCACCAACTCTAAGGGGCTGCATTACCGCTCCCATTTTACCTAAGTCCCAGGTGACACAGCCAGGTCTGCCCAGAAGAGTGGTACACAGAAAGAATCCCATCCCCCTCTCCTGGGCCTGGAGTTGAGAAAGTCCCTCCCTCCAGCCTTGCACTGTGGTCCCAGCCTTTGTGCCCCTCACTGTAGTGTGTGAGGCCAAGCTAGGATCACAAAGGCCCTCAGCTATATATCCAGTCATATGAAGCCTGAAGCTTCACTCCAGGCATCTCTACTTAAATCTCTTGGCTTATGCACAAGTGGTACAGTGCACAACTCACACAACAGCACACACCAGCCCTGAGATTATCGTAGTGGAGTCTTTTGAGACCAACACTGTTGACTTCACCCTCTTGAACTCTGGGCCTCAAGCCTTCTCCAGCATCTCAGGTATCCCAGCGTTAAAGAAACCAACCTTAACTGGTCCTAATAGTCTCCTCTGACTCCTGCCCCCAAACCTTTGCAGTCAAATGCCTAGTAGCAGCCATCTACCTTGCAGGGCCCCTAGCTTCCCATTCTCTCATTGGTCCCAGGCTTCCCTCAAAATGTTTTCCCAAGGCCACTCCCCAATCCCATGGCCTCCCTCGACTCCTCCTCCTAACCTCTCCTTGGCATCAGTGATCACTGGTGATCCCCCCTGTGCTCTGGGAACACTCCAGAGATTCCACTCCTCCCCATCTTCCTCCTCCCCCCAGGAATGTCATCCTCCCTCCCTCAAGCCAAGACCTCAGTCCTCGCTGCTGTGCCCTGTCTGCCCTAAGTCCAGTCCTGTGGATCTATTTCTTCAGTTGTCCTTCCTCTGTCTTTACCTCCGTGAGGAAGGATGAGGCAGCCCTCCTGGGGAGGTCACAGCCTAAGCCTGACAGGGCCTGCAGTGGCCAGACTGCCCAGATGGACACCGAGGGGGCTGCCCAGAAGCCTGGGGGCTTGTGGCAGGATCAGGGGGTGGGGAGCACAGGAACCTCGTGCTTTGGGCTTCTCCTCCCACTTGGAGCTGCCCCTGGATGTGTTGCCCCCAGCCCTGCACCAATTCCTTACCAGCTTAGAATTCATAAAGGCATCATCTTTTCCCCCCATGCCCTGCCCCTCAGCCAAAGGTGACAAACTGGTGACCCACAACACATTTTGTTTGGCCTGACATACTTTCTGAAAGTTTCAATTAGTTGCTATCATTTAAATATCAGATTTCACTTAAGAATCCAGAATTCTGGTTTCTTTTGAAAAAACCAGGAGATCCGGCAACACTAAGTCCATACTCCTGCCTGGTGACCACCAGCTGGCGCTGAGCCTCACTCTGGTCTCTGGCCCTCCCTATGTCCTGGTCCACCGACATCAGCTGCCTGGCTTCCAAACTGTGTCTCTGCCCAAGGTGGCCCAATGTGGAAGAGACCAAAGCCAGGATGATCAGAGTGGTCCTGTTCAACCCTGCTGGCCAGGACCCCTCCCACCATGCTCAGGTCTCAGCACACGAAGGAGGGTGAGCGGGGCAGGTGAGATGGCAGGGTGGCCTGTCCCAGCAGGGCCTCACTCCAGCCTCTCCCCATCACTGTTTATTGCTGGTGGTGGCCAGGCACAATGTCTGTCCTGGCCCAGCTCTGCCCGCCACTGGCAGCTTCAGGCCACTCACATCCTATGGGAGCTGGCCCGGCTGAGGCCTTGTGCTGGGTGAGCAGCAGTGTGTCCTGCCGGCCCAGGCTTTGTACTGTCCAGTCAGCTCAGCCAAATGTGCACCAGGGGGTGGCAGCCTGATCGCAGTCCAGCATGATGTTGAGGACCGTGCAGGGGGCTCCACCCACAGACAGGGCTGTTCGGGAATCCACGTGGTACCGCACAGTGCTCAGGCCTCCCTCCCGGTCCACCTTGAATTGTTCCTGGGGAAGAATGGAGGAGAAGCATGTACTCGGGGCTTCTGGGGGTCAGCTGTCCATTGATCCCGTACAACCATGTCCATAGAGGTTCTGTGGTCCCCACTGAAGAGGAGGAACCCAAAGCTCCCAAAAGGAGAGCACACGCCCATGGCTACAGCCTACTGGGAAGCAGGAGAGCAGGGGATTTTGTTGGACTAAACACCTCCTGGAAACGAGGCTGTTTGAGGGATGAGGCCCCTGGGATTCTGGCACCTTTGGCTGAGCCGACCCCACCCTGGCCTGGATCCTGAGGTCTCTGTGACCCACAGTGCCCAGGGTGCCCCTAGTGGGCATCCATCAACTGGCCTGAGGGTAAGCAGGGGAGGATGGGCCGCATGGGCCCAAGGAGTCCTTGGTGACTTGCTCGGGCCTGCTGGTCCCCACCTTACCACCTACCCATCCCCAGTGAAGGGCCAGCTGGCACCTGTTTTTGAGCTGCAATGCGCTTCTGGTCCCTCTTGCGCCAGGCTGGGTCATGCAGGTGCTGAAACGTCTTGTACCCAGTTGTGATTCCGGAAGGGCGGAAAAGCTAAAGAGGTCAAAGAAAGTATCAGGCAGCTCCTCCCTGGAGCCCTGGCCGCAGCACCAGCACCCTGGGGTCCCACAGCCTGCCAGGGGAGAGCCAGGGGCCCACACTCCCACTTTACAGAAGAGGAGCCTGAGGCGCAGGGGTCAAGGGACAGTTAAATGACCACAAGTCAGGGTCAGGGCTGGGACTGTCTCCAAACACCTGGAATACACCTGAGGAAGGACAAGGGAGCCGGGACCCAGGGGTGTTACCTGGAGCCCGGCTCCTTTGATGCGGCGGTAGAACTCATCGTCCTCACGGCCCCAGCCCCAGAAGCGATTGGACATGCCATTGCACTGACAGAGATAGGAAGTGTCACTTGCCTGTCCTCCCAGGGTGCAGTATGGTCTTGTCACTCAGGAGCACCTGGCCTGTGCCCAGCTAGGCCAGGGTACCCTCTCCTCCTCCTCCCCTTGCTGTTCTGAGTGAACACCTGGGGGTGCGCATGGCAATGTGGTCTGTGCTGTTGCTACTCTCCCAACCTCTGTGGTAGGTAATTGGGGAGAGGGGTTAGCACACCCCAGCCCCTTTCGCTGTTCTAATGGGGCCTTAGACCTGTGTGTGATGATCGGCTTCTCAGAAACTTCTGACTGGCCCTAGGGGCCCTCTCTGGGGAATGGGCAGAAGGGCCAGCTCTTGCTTAAGAACTGCCTACCCCCAAACGCCTATTTCTCTGGGGTGGGTCTGCCCGAGTCTCTTCCCATGTGTAAGAGGTACAGGAGGGCTCTGCAGTCAACACATTCTGTCACCTGGCTCAGGGGCTCCTTTACATGAAGCCAGTTTCAGCTGCGGCTTGAAGAGGGGAACAGGACACTTGGGCCCAAGCACCTCAGTTCTTTGTACCATGACTGACTGAGGGACAGGCCCAGGACACGAGTCAGACCAACTGGGAGTCAGTGCAACTGAGTTCTGGGCTCCTGTTTGGGTGGTTGGGGAAGGGGGCTCCATTTCCCAGCAGACTTGAACCTAGAGGGAGGCAGGTGGCAGCTAGCACAACCACCTTGCAACCTGCAAGTCTGAAAATGAACCCAAGAGAAGGAAGGCAGAGCCGAGATGTAGAAGGAGAATCAGGGTCTCAGGGACACTCTCTCAGAGGCTGGGTGAGCTGCACTGAAGCCGGACTCCCACCTCCCGCCCAGACCTCAGCGTCGAGAGCCAAGACATCCCCAGTTTCCTTCAGCCTCCCAGGAAGGGGGCTCTGCTCCACAGTGGAGCCTGCCCTGACTGCTGCACCCTTCCCGCTCCTCTCGAAGCTCTCCCTGCAGGGCTCTCGCCGTCCTCCCAGTGGCCTCCCCCAGGCCGGCAGACGGCTGGCTCACCAGCTGGTAGTGCTGCTTGGAGAGCAGCAGGATGCCGCCCACGTAGGTCTTGTAGTGGTAGAGCGGGTGGAGCTCCGGGGAGGCCACGTGGAAGGGCCCGGCCTCTGGGAAGCCATAGTCCAGCTCCTCGTTGAGGGGCAGCAAGTCCACGTCGTGCATGGCAATGTAGTCCGTGCTGTTGCTGCTCTCCAGGAAGCCCACGTTGATGAGTGCCGCCCGGTTAAACCTGTGCAGGGTGGCTGAGGCTGGGCACACAGGCATAAACATGCACACCACACTCTTCCCCAACTCTGGGGGAGCCTCTTCTCCACAACACTCTCCCTGGGACTCCCACGTGCCGGTGCTGCCCCCACCCCGATACCAACGTCCCCGCGTGGTGTCTGCCCACACGCACACTTGTCCCTCCAACCATCCCACAGGCTTCTCTTCAGCACCTACTATGTGCCACAAACTGTTCAGAGTACTGAGGGCAGAGCAGTGAAAAAACAATGTACCTGCCCTCCAGGAGCTTACAGTCTAATAGGAGGAGACAAAAATAAACAAACCAACAAGTATTAAGCATGTAATCAGCCAGACGGTGGTTAAGTACTGCGGAAAGGCCAAGCAAGGTGAGGAGGGTCAAGCCCTGTCAGGGACACAGGGCTGTCAGGGGCGGGCCATGGCAACAGGGTGACATCTGAGTGGAGTCCTGAAGACGGTGGGGGATAAGCCACACGAAATCAGGGGGACGGAACCCCAAGCAGAGGAACAGCAACCTCCAAGGCCTGAGGCTGCACAGAGTGGAGGAGACAGGGCAGGGAAGGGGGAGATCGGAGGTAATGGGTAGACTGTGCAGGGCCTGAGGGCCATTGGCGGACTCTGGATTTTAGTCCCAGAGAGGTGGGAGCCACGGGAGGGTTCTGAGTAGAGGTGTGCCATGCTCTGACTTAAATTTTACAGGCTCACTGCAGCTGGTGTGTTGAGAAGAGACTTTAGGGGCAAGGCAGAAGCAGGGAGAACCACTGGAGGTCGCTACAACAATTGAGGCAAGTTTGTGAAGGCAGTCGTGGAGGTGATGAGAAGGGGGCAAACTGCAGATGGTTTTAAAGTTGGAGTCTAGTGGATTTGCAGAGGAACGAGACTGGTATGTGAGAAGAGGAGTTGAGGCTGATCCTGAGGTTTTCTGGCCTGAGCAGCTGGATGCGCAGGGGTGGGGTTAGGAAGGAAAGAAGTAATTCAGTTCTCTGCATGATAAGCATGAGATGCCTCTGAGGCCACCAGAGGGGCTGCGTGGGCAGCTGGGTGCCAGTCCAGAGCTCAGGAGAGAGAAGCTGGGGACTGGATGAGGCCCCCAGGGAGAGACTAGGTAGGAAAGAGGGGATGCCTAAGTGCTGAGCCCCACAGAGCACCAATGCTGAGAGACTAGGGAGGTGGGAAAGAGCAGCAAAGGAGATGAGAAAGGGTGGCCAGTGAGAAATGAGGACAGCCAGAGAGTGCTGTCCCAGTGGTCAGGGGGAGGTGCTTTAAAAAGGAAAAAGAAATCCACCTGACAAATGCTGCTAGCAGGTGGGTGAGACAAAGGTGAGGATCAGCCTAAGAACCAATGGGGAGCAAAGCCTGTACGGGTCAAGAAAAGAATGAGGGAGGGAAAGGGATGGAACAAGGAGACACTTCTCTCTAGGAGTTCTGCTCCAACAAGGAGCCAAGAAAGGGGGGTGGGGTGGACATAGGAGCAAGGGGGCCTTTTCTTTCTTTTTTCCTTTTAGATGGGAGCTATTTTCGTATGTGTGTATGCTGATGCAAATGCTCCAGGAAAGAGGGAAGAACTGATCATGTGGGAGAAGAAAGTGGCTGACTGCTGGAGTGATGTCCTTGAGGAGGGAGGGGGATGGGATCCAGGCGTACGTGAGAGAGGGAGCCTTGGATGGGAGCTGGCATGGTTCATCCTCAATAATGGACAGGAAGCTGGATGTGTGTACAGATACCGGTACGTAGATGTGGGAGCACTTGTGAAAGTTCTCTTCTAACTGGTTCTATTTTCTTAGTTAAATAAGAAGCAAAGCCACCAGCTGACAGTGAGGAACGAGGGGTGAGGGGAAGGCAAGGTGGGAAACTGCAGCTGTGAAGGAGGGGAGAGATGATGGACAGAGGAGTGTGAGGTGTCCAGCATGCAGGCAGCACTGGTCATAAGGAGGCCCAGCAGCAAGGCTGTGCATGTGGATGGTTTTCTCCAACCACAGTCAGTTGCCCAGGTGCAGGTGTGCAGCAGACAGAGGCGGATTCAGTCAGGCTGGGTCTTGGCAGGCAGGAAGGCACAAGGGCATTGAGATGTATGCAGGGCATGATTTACTGTGTATGGATTCATGCCCATGGAATCAAAGTCAGGTCAGGAGAAAATACGGACTGGGGGGAGGGGTGACACGTGAGGCATCAACGGACTAAAGGGCCTGGTGGGGTCCAAGAATCGATGCAGTCCCTCTTCCACAGCGAGGGAGTTGGAGGGAAAGGAGAGGAGGCTGGAATGTGAGATGCTTGGACTCTGGTTGCGGGGGGTAGAATTTCTGGTAATGGTGAGTAATTTAGCGTTTGATGGCAGCCGTGAGCACCTTGACCCTCCCTTTGCTGAACCCGCACGTCCAATCCACCAGCAGGTCCTGTCTGCATTCCCCCACACCACTTCTCCCACCTGCCCTTCGACCACTCTGGCCCAGCCACCATCATCTTAGATGACAGCACTGACCACCAAGTGGCCTCCCTGCTTACCCTGCTTGCCCTCTATCCTGGTATAATCTGCACATGCAGCAGCCACAGAGAGCTTGCTAAGATGGAAATCAGATCACGGCCCTCCTCAGCCTCAAACCCTCCCTTAGATTTCCACCTCCCACCCTCCTGCCACTGCCCAGGGAACACTCCCAGCCTGAGGCACAGCAGGGGCTGACCCGCTGCTGGGAAGGCGAGCAGGACCCGAGAGGCCAGGCAAGGCAATGCCCCAGAGAGGAGGTGCTGGGCCAGAGGGGGGTGGGGAGGTGCCCCCTACCTGAAATGGTCCACCTGGTTGAGCACATAGATGTGGTGCTGGATCTTCTTCCTGCTCAGGAAGCGGTGCATGTGGGGTACAAAAACCAGGAGTTCCTCGAAGCGCTCACGGAAGGGGACCAGCACCGCCAGGCGGTGGGGACCCCAGGACGGGTCTTCTTCCCAGTGCTCAGGAAGCGGCTCTGGGAGGCAGGCCCGAGGTGGGCCCAGGGTCTCCTGCCCTTGTCCCCTGGCTACCCGGGCCACGTCGCCTGAGCAGCTGAGCTGCAGCCAGAGTAAGGAGAGGAAGCCCAGTAAGAGACAGGCAATGAAGAGATGGAAGAAGGAGCACTTCCGGGGCAGGCCAACAGGGACCAACAACCTGGACCTGGGACAAGAGCAGGGGGTGGGTCAGAGGTCAGGGCCAAGCCCAACAGGCTCCTTCCTGGCCTCCCCAAGAGTCAGCACACATGGCTGGCCCACCCCAAGCACCTGGGAGTTAGTGAAGAAGCAACTTTCGTGCTTTGGCTCAAGCCGCTCCCCGTGCATCAGAATCCTGCCCACCTCTCTTGCCCGGCCTGTGCCACCCCACTCCCGGGAAGCCCTGTTACTGCTCCCAGGTCATGGAACTGTCCCAGTTCCTCGATGCTCTCTTAATTCTCTGTGCGTCCTGGTCAGACCATGAGCTGCTCATGTGCAGGGCAAGGCTCCTCTGCCCTTGCACTCACCCCTTCCCAGGACAGTGGCTCCATGCCCTGAGCCCATGGCAGGAGCCCCACCTTAGAGACATCCAAGGCACTCCCTTCCAATGCCGTTCCCCTGCAGATCCACCCCAGCAGAAACTCAGCTTCATCCTGCTTCTTAGGCTTAGCAGAAAGCCCCCAAGACAGGTGTGGGTGGTGGCATCTGTCCCAGATGAAGCAACTGATGCTTACACTGGGAGGATCGGATCTGCCCCGAAACTAATGCAAGGCCCACACTGACAGTGTCAGTTCACTGAACAAGTTTTAAAGCTTCAGACCAAGGGGCAGCCCATGTGATAAGAGATGAGAGACAGAAGAGGGAAAGAAAGGTGAGGGCTAGGGACAGGCCCAGCTCATTTCAGAGACTAGAAAGACAGCTGAATATCTTGGACATTGGGATAGTGCTGGGAGAGACTCCCTTTTAGGTTAGAAAGTACAAAGAAACAGGTAGAATTCACCTGATTCCTCGGCCATTCTCTCTGGAAGTTCCTGAGGATACTGACAAAGGAGCTGAGGAATCCAAGAAGAGGAAAGTTTCCTCCACACTTCCTCTGAAATAATCTGCAAGGATCTACTTCTTAACTTCTAAGAGTCACCAATTAGCTTCCAGGTCTTGTAGAGTCTACTTCCTAAACCCCTCTTTGGTCCAAGAGATCTCATGAATAGTACTCCTATGTTTACAAGGTGGAGTCCCTGGGTGGCATAAATGGTTAAGAGCTCAGCTGCTAACGGAAAGGCTGGTGGTTCAAGTCTACCCAGAGGTGGCTTGAAGAAAGGCTTGGCAATCTACTTCTGAAAAATCGGCCATTGAAAGGCAAGTGATCTAGACTGTTTGTTTATAAGACAAAGGCCAGACTCCCTGGCTTGATAGTGAAACCCTCTATGACCTGGCCCCTCTCTGGTTGCTCTCCACTCACCCAGGGCTGTCACACTGTGTGACACCCATCATAGTCCTTCCTGCTCCAGCCCTCACACAGGCTGCTCTGTCTGCCTGAAATGCCCTTCTTTGTCTTATCTGCCTGGAAGCCCCCTGCTGACTCTCAGGACCAAACTCCAATGTCATGCCACTCAAATACCTCTCTGAGCCCTCTTTCATCCTCCCATGGCATCTGGTACTGTCCTCTTTCAAGCACCAACCGTCTTCCACATTAGGTATCCAGGGGCTCAGACCATGTCAGATTCACTTCTATGGCCCCAGCCCAGGTCAGATAGCAAGGGCGTGCTCACTTGCTCGCTGAGTTAGAGGAAGAGTCAAAGCAGTCAGGGCATGCTTTAGGTCACACACTAGAGCCAGTCCAACTCCTACCTTTCTCTAGAGGCACAACTGCCAACATGGAAGCCAGCAGCCCTGAAGCCAGGCCCACGTCCCACACACAGGACTTGTGACTTACCCCCCACTGTCCTGTGATGGTGCTTTCCACTGGGGAGGAGCAGAGCCCAGTCCTGGGAATGGCCTGGGAAGGCTGGAACCTCTACAGATTCTCCCTTGCCCTCTAGGCTCTTTCTGAGGGCGGGGTGGAGACCAGGGAGATGGACATGGGATCATATCCCACCTTGGGGCGAAGAAGGAGTGACCATTATCCAAGGTATGGCATGAATTGGGCATTATCTGCACTTGCTGTTCCCTCAGTCCAGCTTCCCCTTCCTTTTAGCATCACATCCCCACTGGCACCCTCATCCTGTGCCCCAAGGGCCCAAACACTGAGCAACTGAATTAAGGGCCCAGAGTACCAATTCTGCAGACAGCGGGCACTGAGAACAGCTGTTCCTGATGCCATCTGGTGGCAAAATCCAGATCTGTAGTCCCAGCCCTCCCAGGCTCAGGCCTCCCTAAGCTCTAAGGGGCAATCCAGACCAGGACTTGTCTCCTTCATCAATCTGTGCCCAAGGCTAGCAGGAGGTGGATTCAAACTCAGGCAGGCTGGCTCCAGGGCCAGCACTCTTAATTGCTACACTGGCCGACATCTGTTGCATGAGTCTTTCTATCCCTGTATGAAAAGCACAGAGTTGACATCAGTACATTTTTTTGGCTGTTATGTTCCAAAGATTCACGGAAAGGGATCAGGAAATGGAAATGTTTCTCCATTCCTTTCCTTTCTTCCTTCATACAAACCCTAGTGATACAAGGTTTGAATACTTAGCTGTTCTGGTTATAGTACCTCAAAACCGCAAGGTGACTGGAAGACAAATGGCACCTCCTCTGTGCCAGGCACAGTGCCAAGGGCCTTACGCATATGATCTCCTTTAATTCTCATACAGCCCTGCAGAGTAGATATTATGATCCCCATCTCAGAGATGGAAAAGCTGAGGTCAGAAAGATTAAGTGATCTGTTTCTAGTCGCACGGCTATTAAAGAGGCCTGACGCCACAGTCCATGCTTTCTATTACATTCCTGTCTTCTTATTTTAACACGAAGACTGCAAAATCCTCAAAGGTAAAGAGTTGTGCCCACTAAGTTCCAGAAGCTTTTGGCACCTGGCAAACTTAAAAGACATAAATGGAATGAGGTGTCATTCACTGGGAGGAAAACCACTATCAGTATTCTGCACGAGAAGTTTTCTGGGCACATCTCAAGATTAAGGTGTTGGTGTCCCACCCAATCTAGGCAGCCAAATACCTTTGACCTCATTCTGCTTTAATGGGAAACATCATTAGCTATGGTCTGGGCCGAGCTCACATCTAACACACAGAGCAGGCCCCATTCAACTACAGCTGCCCCAGAAATGAATTCACGTATGTGTGCCAAGTTCCTAGAGCATGCCAGGAAGTGACCAGCCAAGCAGAGATACAGAGCTTCGGTCTGGTCTCTCCTTCTGGGTGGTCATCAAAGGTTGGGGAAACACAAGGGAGAGGGCTAGGGCCTGAGGCCAAGTGGATGTGATGAGGGAGGCAGAGACCAGGGAAGCAGGATAGAGACCCTCAGAGACGCAGGGACAGACACACACAGATGTCAACAGAGTCAGACACTTGTACAAAGAGAGACAGGGAGCGGCCAGTCGAGAAACAGACACGAAGAGACCCATAATGAGTGAACCAGGCGACAGAGACTCGCAAAGAAGGGCAGAGACCCACACAACGGGACAAAAACTAATGAAGAGAGGTCAATGGAGACCCGCAGAGAGACAGAGACCCCCGGAGTGACGGAGACCGCTGGAAACGGAGACCCACATACAGCGAGACAGAGACCCATACAGAGGGAGCCAGTGACCCACAAGGAGAAGCACAGAGCCGCAGACACGGAGACGCGGCGGCCTCGGAGACTCCGCAGGGCGGCCCAGGAAGGAGCACCCGGAAGGATAGCCTCAGGCCGGCCGCCACCGCTCACCTGCCGTCCTCCCAGGGCAGCTGCGCCGCTTTCCGCCGGGAGGGGAACATCATTCGGGGAGGCGGCGACGCATGAGGCTCAGCTTCCAGCCCCGGCCGGCTGGCCTCCCGGGCCTACGCGGCGCCTCCGCCTCCCGCCCCGCCCCTCGGTCCGCCCGGTCCGCCCCTCCGGCCGCGCCGTCTGCTCCCCGAGCCGCCGCGCCGAAGGTTCTGCGTGCCGGGGAACCACCAGTCAGCGCTTCACCGCCTGGCTGACTCCTAGCTACCCTCCGGACCCGCTTGACATCCCGAGAAACTGAGGCCCCAGAGGGGGAGTGACTGGCCAGAGGCCACCCAAAAAGTCACTGGGCTGGGACTGGAATTTAGACTCCAGACTCCCAAACCAGCTCTCTGGGGGTGATCTGCATCTTCCTTTTCCTCCCAAAGGTGGGAAACATCTGGGCATCCCTGCTGTCAGCCCAGACTAAGCACACTTCCTCCGCAGCTAGCTCTGGCGAAGGGAGGGAAAGGCCAAGCTCAGGGCTCAGTCTTGGGTTCAGCCGTCACCCTAAGTAGTAGTTAGAAGCTGGGCTCTGAAGACAGGTTGACTGGACTGGAAACCGGGCTCTGCCATTTCAACTGCGTTTTGGGGCAAACCACAATCTCTCTGCATCTGTTTCCTCACCTGGAGGTACATATGGTTACTGTTCTATATGGTTGCTATGAGGATTACAGGAGAAAATGCAAACACACGAGGTACAGCGCTGGACACATAGTCAACGCTATATAAACGATAGCTCTCATCCAGGAGAGGGTCCTTTGGTGGAGTTGAGGCAAGAACTAAAGAAGGGAATCACGGTGGGAACTTAGGCCCCTCTGAGCCAGCCTCCCACCTGTGAAAAGAGAGCAACAGAGTTGTTAGGCTTGGTCTCCCTTGCTCTTCTAGGCAAAATCCAAGTTTCATAATAAATAGCTAATATTTATTGAGTTATTAGTCCCTGGGTGATGCAAGCGGTTTGCACTTGATCGCTAAACTAAAGGTTGGCAGTTGAGATCCACCCAGCAGCTCCATGGAACAAAGGCCTAGCGATCTGCTTCCGTAAAGGATGCAACCAAGAAAATCCTATGGAGCAGTTCTAATTTATAACACATGGGGTCACCATGAGTCAAAATCAACTCAATGACGATGGGTATTGAGTTCTGTGTGCCAATCATTGTTCCAAATTCTTTACTACTGTTATCTCATTGAATCCTCACGAGTTTTTGCTAGCTGCCATCGAATCGGCCCCCAACTCACGGTGACCCCATGCACAATGAGATCAGACCATTGTGATTCAGAGTTTTCATTGCCTGATTTTTTGAAACTAGATCTCCAGGCTTTTCTTCCTAATCCATCTTAGTCTGGAAGCTCTGCTGAAACCTGTTCACCGTTAGAGCAACACACAAGCCTCCACTTACAGACAGGTGATGGCTGGGCCTGAGGTTCATTGGCTGGGAATCAAACCCAGGTTTCCCGCATGGAAGGTGAGAATTCTACCATTGAACCCCCACTGCCCCCTATCCTTATGAGTAGGTACTTATTATCTACACTTTAGAGATGAGGCAAAATCAAGATGTGAACCTGGAAGTTTGGTTCCACAATCTATGGTCTTAACCACTGTGCTTCAGAGAGGACTTCACTATCTGTAGTAATTATTCCCAGTCTATACCCTTCCCTCTTAAGCCCAGAAGCATAAAACCCACCCCTCCCTCTTCCTGCTGAACTCTCCCAGGGCACTGCACCCTGCAAACCAAACCAAACAACCCATTGCTGTCGAGTAGATTCCGGCTCATAGCAACCCTATAGGACAGAGTAGAACCACCCCATAGGATTTCCAAGGAGCAGCTAGTAGATTCAAACTGCTGACCTATTGGTTAGCAGTCAAGCTCTTAACCACTGCACTACCAGGAGTCCGCCCTAGAACGCTGGCAAATCCACCTTAGGCTTGGCTAATGACAAAGCCAAGGCTGACCCGCTACAGAGACCAGTCAGGGAAGGCCAATAATGGATGCAGGGAGGTGGGACTGTGACCTGAAAGCACAAGCCCACCTAAAGGGGACAGCCATCTATCAGTCCAGCTAATTGTTGCTGCACCAGGCTGAAGCCTTACTAGTGTCAGATCTGATTCACCTCAAGAAATCAGATTACATATAAAAATGCAAATCCTTAATTAAAACAATGTGACATTGACAGTGATGTCATGTTGATACCAAGTACCCTTGATATGATGTGATGAGAACGGCACTTTACCTTTCAAAAACCTGTAATCCCAGGCTAATCATAAGAAAGACATCAAATTCAATTGAAGGAAATTCTACAAAATATCTGACCAGTACTCCTCAAAACTGACAAGTCTGAGAAACTGTCACAGCCAAGACGAGCCCAAGGAAATATGACAACTAAATGTAATGTATCATGGATGGGATCCTGGAACAGAATAAGGACATTAAAACTACGAAGTCTGAATAAAGTATGGACTTTAGTAAAAAATATATAATGTATCGATATTGATTCATTAATTTTAACAAAAGCACTACACTAACGTATGATGTTAATAATAGGGGACCTACCTTTGCAATAGGAGTCCCTGGGTGGTGCAAGCGGTTTGCACTTGATCACTAACCTAAAGATTGGCAGTTTGAATCCACTCAGCAGCTCTGTGTAAGAAAGGCCTGGTGATCTGCTTCCGTAAAAATTATAGCCAAGAAAACCCTATAGAGCAGTTCTATTCTGTAACACATGGATTATCATGAGTTGGAATTGACTTGATGGCAACAAGTATCTGCAATGTTTCTGTAATTCTAAAGCTGTTCTTTAAAAAAAATAATTTTTTTTAAATGTGAAGGCCTAGGTAGTAACATAAGCTCAGATTCCATCATTCCAGCAGCTCTAATGCAATCAAGTAGTCCCCAAACTTTTCTCCTCATCCCCAGTCTCTCAGACACTGCCAGTGCAGTACAATGGGTTTCTCTTTATATATGGCCTTTCTGGCCCTGGGTTTGTAGTTCTGCCAAAATGATTTGCTAGGCCACAACGTTGCAAAGGGATTGGACAGTTTACTATGCAAATAAGGTACATAAAACCCTTGTGGGAATTTGTTGTTTGCTATACAAATTAGGTGAACGTGGCCTACCAAGACGATTAGTCAGTTTGTGGTCTTTGTGGGAGATGTAGGCCACAGAGGTTGGGGGGGACCTCGCCACCATCAAGAACAGCTGGGAATGGAGCACAACCTTTGGTCCCGAGGTCCCTGTGCTGAGAACCTCCTAGACCCAGGAGGCAGAGTTGTAACACTAGAGACAGTGCAACGCAGCATGAGGAAGGAAACAGCCCAGCAACAGCACGAGTGGCAGCAGCACAAGATGGCAGGAACCAGGAGACTGGCACGAGATGGCTGGGGTGGGCTTGCCAGCCCAGAGTGAGAGTTCAGTGCCTTTGGGCAGGAGGCTTGCCAGTGGAGTGGGGTGCCTTGTCAGTGGAACTAAAGAGTTGTAACACTTGCCTGAGCACGGCAAAGGCTAAGAGGAGGTTAGCACAGCTGAGAAGGCTAGGGTGGCCCAAAAAAGGGGCCTACCAGCCCGGCCTAGAAGCATGGCCTGCCAGTGGGCATAACCAAGAAGCTAAGAGCTGTCCTGATGGACAAACTGATCCTGTCCTACATTGTTCCTGATACTTCCAAGTTAATCCCGATCCTAAATTGTAGCCTATTACTTCGTCAATAAACCCCATAACTGAGTAAGGTCTTCGAGTTGTGTGTGGTTATTGCAACGAATTACCAAACCCAGCAAAGAAGTAGAGAGTGCAGTGGGGAGGTGGCTGGTGTCAGAAATGGTAAAAAGGCTGGAGAGAGGAGGCACGTCTGACCTCCACTTCATAGGAATCAGCTTTGGACTGATGATGGTTCTCCTCCCTCTTGGTGAAGTTACAGGACTTCTGACGCTACTAGCACATTATATCCAGAGTAACCTCCACATAACTGTATCTTCAGGGGGTTCCTTCCACTCCTACTGGGGCCCAAGGCTCTTCCAACTCTAACCCAACCCTCCCTTCCAGTTTCCTCACAACCCTCTCCCCAGCTGAAACATAATGTTCAACCATCTTCATACCAGTTGATTACCTCTAATTCTAACCATCACTGCCCTCCCTTCTCCTTCCATCAGAATCCTCTCTCCTTCAAGTTCCTTGAAGCCCCTTGCTTGCTTAAGGCCATCAATATCCTCACCCCAACAGCCCAGGGACTCGTCCTTCCCACACCCGCAGCACTCCTCTGCTCAGTGCACACCACCTTCCCTTACTGGCACCTTTCTGCAGCACCCACAATGACTCTGTCCACTGACTCTGGGCCGGGGGGAGCACCTCACAAGTGAGCTGGTACAGAGGAAATGGTGTGGATTTGAGGCCCAACTCAATTCACCTGTTAGGTGGTCTTAGGCAAGCCCACTATTCCATACAGGAAGGAATGGAGAGAATGGAAAGAATGAAATTCATGGATGGGGATTCATCTTGAAATGTGAAGTCTTTGCCCACTGAGAGAAGTGATGTTGTCTGAAGCACCTCAGTGTTGTGCCCACTGGCTACAGAATAACTTTACAGTGGACAAGAAGTCAATTTTTTTTTATTAGGAAACCCAATGTTAACAAACCTAGACTTATTGAAAATGAAATCAGTAACTAAGATCCTGCAAGACCCATCCCCAACCAGCACCAAGGCCTGCTTGATTTGACCCCAAAGTTCCTCTAACCCCAAAAAAGACAAAGCATGTGAAGAAGTTGGGGTCAACCTCAGGCCCACTTTTCCACATGGCCGCCCCTCCCACCCTCTCAATTGATACACACACCCTGGATCAGCAGGCTGGGCCTAGGGTGAAGCAGGGAACAGTGAGCATACCGAGGTGGTAGAAACTCACAGTCATGCCTCAACCTGTGCAAAATCCCCAGTTAGCAAAGGAAGACAGAAGACTGGCTTGCCCCCACCCCCACCCCACCCCCACCCGTTGAACCCCAGACAGTAGGTCCACATCCCTGATCAGTAACACTGTGACTCTGAGGCGTCAATGGGGCTCTTAGGGGCTTCACCAGCCCCTGGGTGATTACTGGACAGAGCCCAGAGCCCAGGGGAGGAGGCAGGCATTTGCCCCACTACCTGCTAAGTATCAGCCAGCCAAGCTGCTGCCCTCAGCTTGTGCTTAAGGGTATCTGCAGCCCCTTGCCCCTCCAAAGCATCCAGGGCTGGGAATAGTCCTCCTGCCAGAGAGAAATCAGTTCCAGGAGGTCCTTTCTCCCCCAGCCAGGGAAGAAGGATGGCCTGTAAGGCCTGGGATGGCTACACGAGCTTCTTGGCTTCAAAGAAGCTCTTGAGGTGCCGCATCTGCCAGACGCCGATGGCCACGAGGATGAGGGTCTGCAGGATGGACCACCACAGCACTCGCTGGTTGGTGCTCTCGCTGGTCTGCCGGAAGCGTTCCTCCCGCCACTGTGGGAGGGGAAAACAGAAAGGGAGCCTGAGTTGGCTGGGCCCCAACCAAGGCTGCTAGAGCTGCTGGGTTCCCAGCCCCCGAGGATGTCCAGGGCCGGCCAGCTTTGCCCAGGTTCTAGCCAAGTGCCTGCAAAAAGCCACATCACCTGGGTAGAGACAGGAGTCACTTGGGGACTATCTTCACCCCTAACCAGCCAGATGACTACAGGCAACCCCTTCATTATCCTAAATCTGTTCCTCATCTGTGAGGTACAGGCCCCACCTGGTCCTGCCCTGGTGCCTGGAAGAGAAGAAGTTGTGGCATCACCCCACGGGACAGTGCTGTCCTGGAGCACTCAGGAGTGGACACGCTCTGAGCTCTCTGCTCAGGTCTCCCAAACAGCACCTTGAAGACTGTGTGCACAGGTTGCAAACTGGTGGCCCGGGAGCTGGATTTGGCCTATATGTGCATTTTGTTTGGCTCACACCGTGTTTTAACAGCCTCTTAGAGGCGTGTCCTCAATAACAAAATGGAGTCAATAATCTCCCCCCAGCCTTCTAGTACTGCAATGAAGTGGTAAAGATGCACAAGTAAGTCCTTTTGGGGCTTCATGATGACTCTCCCAAGTGAGTCAGTGCGCAGCTTCTGAGAAGAAGCCCACCGCTCCTGGCTCAATCACTCACCCGCTGGTAGTTCTGCTCTTTCTGGATCTGCTCCACTTGTTCAACCAGCTGTCTCACTCGTAGTTGTAACTCACTCAACTTGTCTTTGGCAGCAATTTCTGCATAGTCATTGGCATGTTCACCCACCTGGATGTCCAGGTGAACTCTCTGGGGACAGATAAGGGAGATCAGCGGAATCAAGTTGCCCTGCTCCATCCTCCTGCCAGGACTGACAGCTGATCTCCCAACTTTTTTCCACTGTTCGTTTAGCCAACACGAACTGTGGTCTCCTCAGTGTCCAGCCCTGTGGGGTTCTGGCCATACAGACAGGAACAATAAGCCTTGGCTGATGCTCTGACACAGGGATATACAATGAGCTCAGCAACCATGCCCCGCATGCCCACCGAAAAGCCAATCTTCTTAGCAGACGTGAAATCCTACATACTCATCTCACACCCACACTACCACCAGTCCCCAGTCCTGATCAGGGCTAGAGGCTGAGAACTGTTAGTCCCACATGGGTCCACTTACCAGCATGCCTCCAGCAAAGAGGGAGAACTTGGTGGAATTGGAGTGAAGACAGATCTGGTGCTCGCCGGGGGTATGGGAGGTGAAAGTGAACCTGCCCTCGGAGCCATACTGCCGGGCCAGGATGACCTGGAGGAAAGGAAGGGGCTTCAGTGGAGTGTTAGAGGTGGGGTAGGAAGGAAATGGTGCTTAAGGCCCTGGGTGCCATAAAAGTTGACAAGCAGAGCTTGAAGCACCTTCCAACACCAAAAGTTCCGAAGCTGTTCAGCAGTAGTTGCCAAATGCTTGTCTAAGAACCGCTGGGGCTTGTGTGGAGATGCTGGTTATCAGGTGACCCCTGCTGGGAAGGGCTTTTCTTTATTAGTACCTCAAGGCCTTCTAACTCTTTTGGTGGGCAACTGTCTTTTTTTTTTTTTTTTTTAATGAAAGTTGTCATGCATTGAATTGTGTCCCCCAAAAATATCTGTCAACTTGGCTGGGTCATGATTCCCAATATCGTATGATTGTGTAATCTGATGTGATTTCCTTATGTGTTGTAAACTCTATCACTATGATAAGGTTATATGTGATCTCCTTATGTGCTGTAAATTCCATCACTGCGATGAGGTTATACTGATGAGGTTTACAAGATTAGTGTCTTAATCCAATCTCTTGTGAGATATAAAAGAGAGAAGCGACCAGAGACACATGGGAACCTCATACCACCAAGAAGGCAGTGCCAGGAGCAGAGCATGTCCTTTGGACCAGAGGTTCCTGCGCTGAGATGCTCCCAGACCACGGGAAGACTGATGCATCACAAGGACATTCCTCCAGAGCTGACAGAGAGAGAAAGCCTTCCCCTGGAGCTGACACCCTGAATTTTGACTTGTAGCCTACAGGACTATGAGAGAATAAACTTCTCTATGTTAAAACCATCCACTCGTGGTATTTCTGTTAGAGCAGCACTAGATGACTAAAACAAAAGGTGACAGCCCAAGGGTTTTGTGCGAGTTTTTTGTTTTGTTTTAATAAACTTATCTGTCAAAATTAAAAGCTGCTCATTCTTTTTGGGAAGTACCCTGTTCCTAAAACTCCAAAGTCTAGACATCACAGCTTTAAAGGTGACAAAAATCCTTCCCTCTCCATCACTGGAGTTAGTCTACCCATTATACCTAAAAGATAGTTGTATTTACATTTCACTGACCAAGAAAATGGGTCAAGAAAAGTAACGGACTTTATGAAATCATGTAGCAGTCAGTAAGAAGTTGAGAGGAGCAGCTAGCACTGTAACAGCTGAAGTTTGGCCTGGAATGAAAATCCAGGCTCTTCCCACAACAGCAACTGTCTTTCCCCACTTTAGCAGATGCGGAAACTAGGCGGGGAAGTACCAGCACCTGCTTGGCCCGGCACTGAAGTGCGGGACGCAGGGCTTGGCGGGGTAAGGGCAGGCTCACCTTGTCCTCCGGGTCCTTGACTTCCACGAACATGCCAAGCCCGGGGGTGGCCGGCTGGTATTCCTCTCGCTGTTTGTCATACAGCTGCGTCCGGTAGTTTCCTGGAGGGAAACGGGGAGAGCCCTGGTCAGAAAAGCACGAGGTGGCTCTGGGCCCGCGGCCGCCAGGACACTGCGAGGTCCGCTCCTTCGGGTCTCGAGACCTGACTCTCCCAGAACCCCCAAGTCAAGACCGCGGTCTTCTTCCAAACTCCCCTCCTCCCCCCGCACCTATAACCATGGTCTCGTCCGGAATCTCCTCAATAAAGCATTTCTTCTCCGTCTCCCCAATGTGGAAGTAGAGCGCGCCGCTGCGGGCTGCAAAACACAGTAGCAGTAGGAGGGCCCGCACCACCTTGCCCAGCCCGGCTCCAGGCCCAGGCCCAACAACACACTGGTCCTGCTTCGCAGCCATCTTGCCCGTAACAGCCGCAGTCGGCCGCGCCACGTATCCCTGCCGCCGCCGCGGGGCCTGCCGGGACCGCGAGTTCGGCGGGGTGGACTACAAATCCCGAGGTGCCCCGCGGTCTTGGAGCGGCAGTTCCTGATTGGGGCGCAGCTTTTACCCAGTTGAGGGCCCCAAAATTGCAAAATTCTTTTCCGTTGACTCTCGTCCCGGCCAGGCGACTGGTGATGATTATTACCTTTTTACAGAGGAGGAAACTAAGGCGATTTCTTAGAGGTTGAGGAGCGAATTTCGAGCAGAGGCAGGATTTGAACCTTAGATCCATAATTTTCATCGGCATGACATCTGCCACTCTTAGTTTGCTTCTATGTTTAAAAATGGAACTTTGAAATACTGACACAATGCGGGAATTTATCCTTGAAAAAAAAGAATTCAAGGAGCCAAGGTCTTTCTTTACCACTTCTCCTTTGCTCCCAAACTCCATCCACTCCTTAGAGGTGACTACAGTTATGAATCAGGTCTGTATCCTCCCAGGTCCCCAGGTGGTTCAAACGGTTTGCAGTGGACTACTGGTTGGAACCCACCCAGTGGCTCTGCGGAAGAAGGGCCTGGCAACCTGCTTCTGTAAAGATTACAGCCAAGAAAACACTATGGAGATCACCATGAGTCGGTGACTTCTTGGCACCAGGGTTTGGGTTTGGTACCCTCCCAGAAATTCACGCACATGCACGTCTACACTGCTGCCCTATCTGGCGATGGCTAGTTTCTGGACAGGGGTTCTGATTCCCCAGTGGCCGGCCCGCATATGACTTCAAAAACCAAAAAACCAAACCTGTTGCCATAGAATCAATTCTAACTCATGGCAACTCCATATGTTGCAGAGTAGAATAGCTCCATAGGGTAATCTTCAGGGACTCCGCCAGATCACCAGGCTGCAGTGCTGTTGGGTGGGTTCCAACTGCCAACCTTTAGGTTAGTAGTCCAGCACAAACCATTTGCACCCCCAGGTCCAAGGTCCCACTCCTACTTATTCCCGTTTTGGAGAGTTCTGCACTCAGCATGAGATTGGCAGAGGTCAGGGCCAGCCCTTGTGGCCTTCCTGGATTTCATCCATATTCACTGTATTTGGCAACTTTTCTTGGTCGTTAGCGATTTGGGATTGTGACTGCCTCACGATTTCTCAATTGCTTTCATTTGGCCTTAGGGAGGGAGGTTTAGTGGAAATGCATTCAGTTTCCCCGTCAAGAAAGTTTTTCATTCTTTGATGGTTATGAGGATGGGGAGGGAGGGAGAGGGTTATACACTAATTAGATAGTAGACATGAATTAGGTAAAGAGAAAGACAGCACACACTACAGGGGAAGTCAGTACAACTGGATTAAACCAAAGCTAAGAAGTTTCCTGAAAACAACCAAACACTTCGAGGGACAGAGTAGCAGGGGTAGGGGTCTGGGGACCATGCTTTCAGGGAACATCTAGGTCAATTGGCATAACAAAGTTTATTAAGAAAATGTTCTGCATCCCACTTTGGTGAGTGGCATCTGGGGTCTTAAAAGCTAGCGAGCGGGCCATCTAAGATGCATTCATTGGTCCCAACCCACCTGGAGTAAAGGAGAATGAAGAACACCATAGACGCAAGGAAAGTATTAGCCCAAGAGACAGAAAGGGCCGCATAAACCAGAAACTGCATCAGCCTGAGACCGGAAGAGCTAGATGGTGCCTGGCTACCACCAATGACCGCCCTGACAGGGAACACGACAGTCCCTGATGGAGCAAGAGAAAAGTAGGGTGCAGAACTCAAATTCTAATAAGAAGACCAGACTTAATGGTCTGACTGAGACTGGAGGAACCCCAGAAAGCATGGCCCCCAGACTCTCTGTCAACCCAGAACTAAAACCACTCCCGAGGCCAACTCTTCAGACAAAGATTAGACTGGACTATGGGACATGAGGCTATACTCGTGAAGAGTGTGCTTCTTAGTGCAAGTAGATACATGAGACTAAATGGACAGCTCCTGTCCAGAGGTGAGTTGGGAAGGCAGAGAGGGGTAGGAGCTGGTTGAATAGACATGGAGAATCAGGGGTGGAAAGGAGGAGTGTGCTGTCGCAGTACTGGGAGAACAACTCAGGTCACATAACAATGTGTATATAAATTTTTGTATGAGAGACTAACTTGAATTGTAAACTTTCACTTAATGTACAACAATAAAATAATGGAATCACACAAAAAAAGAAAAATAAAAAGTTTTTAACCTCATTTTTCTAACAGTAACAATTTTCCATTATATCAATGTACCTTATGTTTTTAACCATTTTTCTGGTGAAAAATATTTAGCTTGCCCCTCAATTGTTTGTCCTTACAGATAATGCTGCAATAAAAATTCTTGTACATTTTCTAAAAAGTAGGACGTAGTTTTACTGATAAGAGATCACAAAATTGCCCTCTCAAAAACTTTGCACCAATTTACAGACCTACTAGCAGTGTTCCAGAATGCTTGCTTCTCACACTCTTGTCAAATGTCCTCAACCTTTTTAATTTTTGCAAAATCAATGGATGAAAAATTGTACCAAAAAAAATCAATGAATAAAAAATTCTTTTGATTTCCATTTCCTTGATTACTAAAAGGATCCCTGGTGGCACAATGGTTAAAAGCGCTCAGCTGCTAACAAAGGTTGGTGGTTTGAACCCATCAGCTACTTCGAGGGAGAAAGATGTGGCAGTCTGTTTCTGTAAGCATTACAGCCTTGGAAATCTTATGGGGCAGTTCTACTCAGTCCTATAGGGTCGCCATGAGTCGGAATTGACTGGACAGCAACTGTTTTTTAGTTAGTTTGTTTTTTATACAGGTAGACCCCGACTTACAATGGGGTTCCATTCCCCCTGTAAGTTGGTTCTGACATAAGTCGAATACCTCATTTTTTTTTCAGTTTTTATTATTACTGCCTTTTATTATCATTATCTTTATAAATCCAATCTTTATTTGTCTTTGGAAGAAACATTACATGTAAACTTACAGATATATTTTAATACACAGATAAAAAAATACACAAATCATAAAAGTTTATTCCCATGATGAAGGAGAGTTGGACAATATTGACATTTTGTCAGCTGTAGTAATAACTCCACTTGTGGAAGGTTCTGGATCATCTGGATTATCCCTGGGGATGGGGATGGCATTTCTAGTCAGAAAATTAGTGAGAGTTGTCTGTGTGGTCCTTTTCTTTTTTTCTTCATATATTTCATGGTAACATCTCACTGCTTCCCGAATCTGCCTATCGACTTTAGCAAAGTGATCAGCGTTTGGGTTCATGTTTTCAAGCAACTGAAGCCCCTGATTTAGTTTAGAAAAAAATTCTAGCTAATCCTTTCATTTAAATTTTTTTGACATCTTATCTCCTTTCTCTTCCTCATTATTTCTTTCTTCTTCAGCATTTCTTTCTTCTTCAAAATCCGTTAAGTCTGATCTGTCAATTCCTCTTCTTTGTGGTTAGGAGCTGTTCCACATCTGCAACATCAAGTTCTAAATTCGGCATTCTTGCCATATGGGTGATTTTTCCACCAATTTCTTACATCATATTATCAGGATCAAAAGCTTAGAGCAAGTACACACAACTCAGCAATTTTTTTCCATAGCCCCTGCATGCATTTTCCCTTAACTTCCTCCCAGGAAGATGGAATGTTCCAGATACACTGAGGGTGGTAGGTGAGGTTTGTCATAACTCAAATACTTTGTAAGCCAGGGTATCCACTCTATACTATTATATCTGTATGATCTTAATGCTAATGTAACCACCATACAGGATTAATAAATGATAACATTGTGTGATATTTGTTTTGCTATACCCATTATCCAGTTTCCACCAATGGTAACATCTTGCTCAATCATGACGGTGACAGTGATACAATCAAGATACAGAACATTTCCATCACCACGAAGAACCTTCATGTTGCCTTTTTATAGCCACACCCACTTCTCAGTCCCCTTCTTAACCCCTTGCAGCCACCAGTCTGTTCTTCATTTCTATAATTATGTCATTTCAAGATTCTGATATAAGTGGAGGAGCCCTGGTGGCACAGTGGTTAAGAGCTTGTCTGCTAACCAAAATGTCAACAGTTCGAATCCACCAGCCACTCCTTGGAAACCCTATGGGGTAGTTCTACTCTGTCCTATAGGTCACTATGAGTTGGAATCGACTCGATGGCAAGGGGTTTGGTTTTGGTTTTATATAAGTGGAAGCATACAGTACGTAACCTTTTGGGATTGGCATTTTTTTACTCAGCATAATTCTCTGAAGATTTATCTAGGTTGTTGAATGTATTAATAGTTCCTTTTTATTGCTAAATAGTAACCATGGTATGATGTACCACAGTTTCTTTAACCATTGAAGGACATCTGGGTTGTTTCCAGTTCTCGACTATTACAAATAAATCTGCTATGAACATTCGTGTACAGGTGTTTGCGTACACATAAGTCTTCATTTCTCTGGGATAAATGCCCGGAGTATGATTGTTGGATCATATGGTAGAGCGTGTTTAATTTTTTAAGAAACTGCTAAACTGTTTCCCACAGTGTCCGTACCATTTCACACTCCTACCAGCAACGTGTGAGTGACCCAGTTTCTCCGCATCCTCACCAGCATTTTGTGTTGGTCACTATTTCTTTAGCCATTCTGATAGGTGTGTAGTGATAACTGATTGTGGTTTTAATTTGTGTTTCCCTAATAGCTAATGAGTTGAAGATATTTTCATATGGTTATTTGCCATTTTAATATCCTGTTTGGTGAAATGTCTCTTCATGTTTTTTGCCCACCTTCTAATTAATTTGTCTTGTTCTGTTTTTCTTTTGAGTTTTGGAAGTTCTCTGTAGCTTATCTTTTCATTATCTTAACAGGGTCTTTTCCAGAGCAAAAGTTTTTAATTTTGATGATGCCCAATGTATCAATTTTGCTTTTCTTTCTTTCTTTTTTTAACTTTTATTGTGCTTTAGGTGACAGTTTACAGAGCAAATTAGTTTCCCATTCG